GTTCTCTAAGTGTTCTCCAGATGTCTTTCCAAAAGGAACATATTAGTTTACATTCCCACCAGCAGTGTAGGAGTGTTCCCTTTTCTCCACATCCATGCCAGCATCTCTGGTTTTGGGATTTTGTGATATGGGCTAATCTCAAAAGATGAATTCTTCACCAAATGCAAAAGCTTTGAGCCTCAGAGACTTACCCCAAGTGTGAATTTTCTTCCAAGATGTCTATCAGCATTTAAGATCAAACAAGTTGGTCTCAGATGGAAAAAACATAGACATTTGAGAAATAAAAAAGAAAGTTAATGAAAAGATTTTAGTGAAATCTCATATTACGCATATGTTCCTAAGATATTACAAAAATAAATGGTATTTTATTAACATTTAAAATCATGTGCTAATTTGTAAGGACTCATTGGCAAATCTGATTTTAAGTCTTCATAGCAGATTTAAGTATATGTATTAGAGAACATCTGGAAGTAAAGGAAAGAATATGTGTTCTCCTAATATGTGAGAACTATGAGATGCAAAAAAGTGTGAAGTATTGAATTTCACAGCTAGAAATGTTCTCCAATTCTTCCCTTAGAGAGTATAGAACTTAGATGGAGTCATGGAGGATTATTTGACCTGATCACCAAGACTCTAGAATTGTGCTAAATGGGGTGAAGGAGAGGGCTAGCTCCATAACTCTGAAAGTCCATGCTTCTGAGCCTTTATGAGATCTGAATAAGCAGAAAAAGTGGAAATCAGTTCATCTGCTCGCCATAGGAATTCCTGAAGGGGCTGTGTCATCATAATCCAAGAAACTCAATGGGGAATTAATTACATAAAATCACCTGGCAGAACATTCAGGCACCTGTATACAATATTGTTATTGTTATTGTTTAAATTGGGATTGTGAAACCTAACAGGACCAAGTGCTCCTCTGTCACCTAGATGCACTGGTCTCTAAATCCAATAAAGCAAACAATTGTGACATTCTGTGATTTGCACAGGGTCTCTGGCAGGTTGGTGACAATCTGGGAGAGTCCTGAGGGCCTGGCTTCAGGAGCAAGCTTTGCAGTGACATTTGGTGAAGCAGTAATGACTTGCCCTGTTAGTAAAAGCCACCCCACATTTTGCATATGTTTTCCCTGTGTCATAAAAATGCATTTATGGAGCCATACTATGTACAAAGCACTTGGGGTTTAAAAGTTTGATACCGTAGGCCAGGTTTCTCATGAGTTTACAATCTATTAGGAGAAATTAAGACCACAAGTAATTCACAAAGGAAATATCAAAACAGGAGGGAAATCAAGTTTTCTGTTCATGAGAGTTCAAAAGAGACATTTCTTTTGAAGCAAGAGGAGAAGCCAAAAATACTTTAAGTAGGAGGCATTTGGGTGAAAGCAGGGATGACAGGAAGAATGAAGACAATAGGGAAAGTCTGCCCTGTAGTCCCAGCTCCTTGGGAGGCTGAGGAAAGAGAATTGCTTGAGCCTAGGAGTTTGAGGTTGCTGTTAGCTGTGATGCCACGGCACTCTACCAAGGGCAACTCTGTCTAAAAAAAAAAGAAGAAGAAGAAGAAAGAAAGAAAGTCTGGCACGGTGCCTTATGCCTGTAATCCTAGCACTCTGGGAGACGAGGAAGGAGGATTGCTTGAGCTCAGGAATTCCAGACTAGGAGAAATGAGGTAGTAAGAGCAAGACCCTGTCTCTACTAAAAACAGAAAACTAGCCCAGCAATGTGGCCAGTAGCTGTAGTCCCTGCTACTTTGGAGGCTGAAGCAAGAGGACTGCTTGACCCCAAGAGTTTGAGGTTGCTGTGAGCTATGATGCCATGGCACTCTACCCAAGGTGACTGGGTGAAACTTTGTGTCAAAAAAAAAAAAAAGAAAAGAAAAGAAAAAGAAGAAAGAGTATGTACCAAGTGCTTAGTCCTAGAAATAAATATAAATAATAAATGCATGGCATTGAGAGAAAACTGAGATTCTTCTAGCCTGTAAAGCTAGGTAAAGCTTTCTATCAGAGATGAGGCTTTGGGGGAGGGAGAGCAGAAATGAAAGGCAGGATATGGGAATGGTCAGTGTATACACAGCATAGGGTCAGCAAGCTAACTTGCCTGGCAGAGAGTGAAAGAGTAATGTGGGCTGGAGAGGAAAGTTGATGCCTCTTAGGGAAGCCAAAAAAAATTTTGCCTAAAACATTTGCTCTCCAGGAGAAATCATAGCTTTCTGAGTACAACGACGCTCCAAAATTGGTGACTCTTAAAGCATGCCCCAGGACAAGCCCCATCTGCATCCTTAAAAAAAAAAAAATTAAAAATAATAATAAAAAAGAATTTGTTAGGAGGCAGCACCCATAGCTCAGTCAGCAAGGGCGCTGGCCACGTACACCTAGGGTGGTGGGTTTGAACCAGCCTGGGTCTGCTAAGCAACAATGAAAACTGCAACCAAAAACAGCCAGGCATTGTGGCAGGCACCTGTAGTCCCAGCTACTCAGGAGGCTGAGGTAAGAGAATTGCTTAAGCCTAAGAGTTGGAGATTGCTCTGAGCTGTGATGTAACAGCACTCTACCCAGGGCAACAGCTTGAGACTCTGTCTAAAAAAAAAAAAATTGTTAGGAATATAAATTCCAGGGCCTGATTCCAAATTTATGGAATCAGAAACCCAGCAATCTATCTTAATAAGCTCTGGAGATGATTCTGCTACACACCAACATTTGAGAATATTGTTTAACTTGCGTCATTATGATCCTTAACCACATTTTTTAAAAGATAATGTTGTTTTTCCTCTTCTTGCTGCTGGTTTATGGAACAAATCTCTGGAGATACAAATTATTGAAATTACAGAGATAGGTGAAATTAGCTAAGGATAATTGTACATAGTTTACATTTCCCTCAATCTCTCCCTGTAGTACAAAGTTTTCAGTGCAAAAAAATCTGTAAAGTGGGTCATTGACTTAAATTGATTCAGTTCTAAGTTACATGTTCATGAAACTGTAGGAAACCAGTTTTAGAAATTTTACTGTAATTTATGCTCCTTTCTTAGGGCAGGATATCTGCTGAAGATAAAATAGGTGCTCAAGTATGTATAAATTCACATGATTGTTAAAAAAGAATATACTCAGCTCAGCACCCGTAGCACAGTGGTTAGGATGCCGGCCACAGTCACCAAGGCTGGCAGGTATGAACCCGGCCCAGGCCAGCTAACCAACAATAACAACTGCAACAAAAAAAGAGAATATACTCTTTATAAGGTTGCAAAGGATTAATATTCATCTCCTATAATAATTTTATTAACAAAATACATGCATCTCTTCGCCATTTAATACTTTATTTTCACCTTATAACACAGCACCTCTCTAATATGTTTATCTGATTGTCCTGAAGTTCTCTATTTACTCTTATTTAAAAAAGAAAAAGAAAACAGAAACCAGCTTTGCACATTAGTGGTATCATAGCCAATGAGGTTTATCTGAGGCGCAATTATTGCTAATTGAAAACTTTTCCCAATACCCCACCATGACGACTTGAAATACAGTCAGCATTGGCAATTTTT